ATTTCAGATCAAAGCCAATCCAGTGGGGCTCCTGAAAGGGAGCAAGGGACACTATGCTCCCAAATATTAAGCCTTGACCCGCATCTTAAAATTGATATGATCAAAAAATGATCTGCATTGTCGGAGGCCTTTTTTCCTCATTATCATGTCAAATTGTACAGCTTTCCTTAGTGTTGAATGCTGAAAGATGACTATATTAGAGTATTAAGTGAAAATGACTATATTAAAGTTTTAAGTAAATATATTAAGTGAATTACTCAAACTGCATTTGTATAGAAATGATTCTGTCCTATTGGCAGATAACTACTCTAACAGTGATATCTACAAGAGATGTACATTTAACTATTTTCAATTGGTTAGTATTACATTTTGTGACAGTGTGGTGACACTCATTTTAATGAAGACAAATGTGTGTATCTTGAAATTCATTTATTTGACAGAGCTGGAAACTGATACATACTTGTTTGTGTTTACCTACACAGTCATCACAGATGAGCCAAACAGAGTAGAGCAGGGGTGGCCAACCAGTCAGAGGTTAAGAGCCACATTTGTTTCTATGTTACTGCAAAGAGCCACATCAAACACACAGTCACTGATACTGCTTGTTTCAGTTTTTTGTTTTCTGGAGACAAGATTTCAACCACGTCACTGATGCATTTTTGTGGCATTGGGATATATTTTTTTTAAATCCTCTGGAGCAGATAGAGGAGCTTATTGTTATTGATTAATGCATCAGTGTTTCTTAGGGTCAAAAACACTAAACTCACAACTTGAAATGAAAGCGTTTAGTTTATTTAATAAAAGAGCACATGTTCAATGTGAAAAGTGACAGTAGTTATAGATTATTTGCAATTTGGTGCTATATATATATTTAAAAAAAAAAATGACATATATTTTTTGGGCGAGGGGCTCCGTTGGTGGGGCGCAGCGCCCCTCCAAGACAATGGTAGGCGAAACACTGGATAGTGTTTAATCAACGATAGGTTTTCCCCCCCCCCTCAAAGGTGATGATTCACTGCATCGCAGGTATTATTGTGATTGGCTCTTGGGCCACATGAAAATTACCTGACACCACACATACGTGGGGAGATGGGGGAGAGCCGGGACGAAAGTAACACGGGACGAAAATAACGGAGCGATTTTATCCGAGCCCAAACAACTTTGACCGGCCAAATTACGTCAGAATTATCAACATTCAATACTTAACAGACCTACTAAATATCAGGTTTAACTGTCAGGAGTAGTGTTGTCACGATACCAACATTTTGGTTTCGATACCAAGTCAAGAATTGCGATTCCGATTCTTTTTCGATACTTTTCTTAAAAAAAGGGAAACAGTCTTAAATGTAATTATTAGGGCCGGGGCTCGATTAAAAAAATTAATCGAATTAATTAGAGGCTTTGTAATTAATTAATCGAAATTAATCGCATTTTTAATCACATATACATATTTGACCTGAGAACAGTGAGAAGCAATTTTTTTCACATGGATTTTAGTATACCATTAGGCGCATTCACACCGCAGTACTTTTCCCACAAAGGTTCATGAGAATTTAGTTCATGAGAACTCTTTGAACCTGGGGGTGGATTAGGCAAATGAAGCCGCTGACGTCACTTCTTCTTCTTCTGCTTTGGGTTTACTGGCAGGCCGCAAACCACTTCACGGCGTATACTGCCGCCCAAAGTCCCCGGCCGGAAGTCCCCGGAGTTGGGGACTGGCTTCAGTAGAAGCTGCTGGGAGTCCCAGCAGCCTTCCGAGTAAATCGCCAGAACGCCGACACCTCCTCATCTCCCATGTTTTATTTTGTGTTGCCATAAATTAGTCTCTCTGCGTTTCTGCGCTGTGCTAATGCTAATAATGCTAATGCGAGGATAATAAAATTCACAAAACTTTTTGGGAGTTTTACGGGGCGTGGTTTGCAATCCGCCCAGCCAATCAGAAATATAGCTCTTTTCTCACAAGAGAGCCTTACGAAAGTCCCTGCTCTCTAGCAGCTCTCTGCTCTCTAGCAGGGACTTTCGTGGGGGTAAAAAGGTTCTCATGAACTAATTTTAGTACCGGCTCTTTTTGGTGTGAACGCGATAAAAGAGGCTAACGTCCACGCTAGCTTCCACGCTAGCTGCTATATGTTTTGCATTGAGGTGATACTTGAGGCTTGATGTGCTGCGGTGATATGCGAATTCCTTTTTGCATAATTTGCACACAACCGTGCTCTTATCGACGCTTCCATCTGTCCGTTTTTTAAAACAACATTTCCCACTGTTGTTCACTGTGGTTTGTTGTTGTCTGAAGTCATGAACGTTAGTTGGTGCTCCAGTATAATCGGTACGCCTGAAACTCATCCAGTGAGAAACGTTCCGCGGTGCAAAAATAAGTGCGATTAAAATGCGTTAATTTTTTTAACGCGTTAATTTTTGTGTAATTAATTAATCTTAATTAACGCGTTAAAGTCCCGGCCCTAGTAATTATTGTGCTTTATTTCACACCAGAACCATAACCATAACACAACCTTTTAAACAATGAGAACAATAAATGACAAGAATTCGTATTAAATACAATTAATAAATGTCTTACAGACAGGCCTCATGGTGTCCGTAGGCTTGCCCTCACTGTCAGAGATATAGCTAAAATACATCAAAATGTCGCTTCTGGCGTCTTTTTTGTCAACAAGCCGAGGCGCAGCGGCAGTTGCACTCCCACTTGCAGCCATGCTTCTCGTTTTCTCACATGCTCTGGCAGCTAGCGCGTGCATGAGAGAGGGGAGGGACTTAGAGCGTGCTTGAGAGGGGCGGGACTGCAGGCACGGCTGCAGTGCAGGGATTGGAAGCAGAGCGTTGAACACACGGCTCTTATTAAAACGGCGCTTTCTCACCGGAGTACTTTTCCCCGTCATTCTTAAAGTACCGATAGGCCTACTAATGAAACGGAGGAATCGTAACGTTTTTAACGGCAGGGTATCGCGGTATACCTTTCAAGTATCGGTACACCGTACAACACTAGTCAGGAGTCAGTGTCTCTCCTCCAAACTCACACATATACAATTCGATATGAACTGAAGAGCCGCATGAAACTAGGCAAAGAGCCGCATGCGGCTCGAGAGCCGCGGGTTGGCCACCCCTGGAGTAGAGGATGAAGAAAGGAGAACAGGAGAAAGGGACACACAAGAAGAAGATACAACAGACAAGAACGACAATGGAGACAACAATGAACAGGAACACCAGAACAGACAAGAGTCAATGGGTAACATGACTGATTTAGGGACTGCAGATACAGGGCCAAGGCAAGTGAGACATCACTGCTTTCCATCCAGCATGTTTGGCCAGCAAAAGAGATAATTTCAACCGCAAACAGCAAGTGATGAGGGATTATTATTTCCTCCTTCCATCCCTTTTTTCTGTTTAATCTGATTACTAACAACTTCTAATAATTTGACATAGTTTATGATTTAATTGGAAAATGAAGTGTTTTTAAATAATAGACCCGTTTCTGATTCTGATTCTTTGATTTCTTTTTGACATATGGGTGTTGAGAGATGTATCCATATCTCTTAATGTTGCTCTCAAAGTGCACAAGATTGATGCTTTTAACTTCAGTATTTAAAAAAAGTCTTCCTGGGGGACCCCAGAGGAGGTGAGTTCCCCCCAAAATAGCACTTTATCTCTGCTTATGTAACTCCGGTGTAGTGTCCCCTCGTCAACAGATCACTCAGAGCTGGTGATTACTTTCCTGCATTTCAATGGACAGCATATAAAAAGGACACGTGAGCTGCATTGCTTAAGAGATCCTCTCATGCTATCTCTTTTACAAAATAATTGTCCAGTCAACAACAAAACATCAGTGATCGTATAGTGGTAGTATATTTTTCACAAGCAATGTGAAACATTAAACTTATACAAACTGGTTTACAAAACTCACATACATGCGTTGATCTCCTGGAGTGTCTACTCTTTCTTCTCCACATCTCTTGTCCACCATCAGAGATTGCAAACATTTCAGAGACAGCTAGAGGTAGGGGACAAACAACTTGTTCGCTGGGCATGTCAAAAACCTCCCTGCTTTGATCAAGACTTTAGGGAGCCTTTCAGCCCCTCTAGCAAAGGGACTGGAAAGCAAGCTTTGAAAATGCAGTACCATCTACATGCTGTCATGTTCCAGACACTGCTCTCAACCACTCAGGGCCTGCACAAATACCTGCAGAAAGAAACAATTGACTTGGTGCAGGCAGTAGATTACAAAACGGCAGTTGAGAACACACTGAAAAGTTACCAAAGTAACGAGAAAGCACATGAGGTCTATGACAAGACCAAGGCCCTGTGCAATGATCTTGATATTCCCGAAACTGTGACACAGAGGAAGAAGCGTAGAAACATGGAAGACTTTGTAGTCAAGGCATCATGTGGAGCAATGTGAAACATTAAACATAAATAAACTGGTGTACAAAACTCACATACCTGCATTTCAATGGACAGCATAAAATGACTCGTGAGCTGGGTTCTGGTGCTCAGATTAGCTATTGATGATCACGTTGATAAATCATATAAAACAAATAGCCAATCACACTAAAAACATGTTGCTGTGAGCATTAAACAATTAACATTAAACTAAACAAACACAACAGTACGTTATTGTCCTTATAAAATAAAAACATACATTTTGTCCACCGAGATAATACAGGCACCTTACCCTCAAGAGATCCTCACGTGCTATGAGAATCTCCCACAATCCATTGCCGTAACAAAGCTAATGCAGGCACACGTTTGTGACACCAGATGGCGCAATTGTGTATGTGCGTGTGGGGAGTCTTGCAGTAGAAAATTTGACTGTAGCGCCGCCACTGTGGGCTAAGCCCCGAATGTTTCCAGGTCCAGGCGACGCCCCTGATAGAGGGTGTCGTTTTTTTTCTCATACTGATATTCTGAACAATCTGTGCTGTTGTATTTGCTGTAAAGTGTCTCTACTGTAGGCTAATTTTATTATATGTACAGCACTTTGGCTCGACCAAAAATCGTTTATAAATGTGCTATATAAATAAAACTTGATTTGAATAATCAAATAATAAATACAATTTGGTCAAATGAAATGACACTGATAACAGCAATGCCCAGCGTGGATGAAGCTGGTGCAGGTCTTTCTTCATGCCCCCCCTCCGTGCTGTCCCCTCAGAGGAAGTGGGAAAACGGGATAAGACCTCTGGACACCACGCTGTCTCAATGATCCACACTGTTAATATGAGAGGGAAATAAATGTTTTAGGAAATGAAAAATATGAAGTTAACAAATAAAACACAGCTCAGGGGCATCATGGACAGTAGGTTTTCCTACAAAGAGAAGTAGTTAACTCAGTCTCCATTGATTTTCACATCAAATTAGCGTGTTAATAAAATAAGTTATCATGTCTTATACTTGCATATCTAAACAGAATCATGAAAGCCTGTTGGTAGAGTCAGGCACACGAGTCCGTTTGAGTGTGTGCGCCGGTGTCTGAAAGCTCACTCACTGCTCGCTATGTAACTTATGTCCCTCCCTGCTGTTAGGCTACTTAGCTAGCATTGTAATGGATCTAAAGTTAGCAAAAGCTAACTTTCATAACACAGCTTTTCTTTACTTCTCACTTAACTAACACAATAAAGAAACAGACCGTATAGTACAGCACAAACGATCAATACTTACATATATTTTCACTTGTAGTATTATAATAATTGAAATGCTGGTTCTTCTGGGGGTGTTCTATCCACGCTCAGCTACCGCACCGCAGCTGCCTGCACTGTACAATCGCTGGAGGACTGGGCTGTCACTCAAAAACTGAGTAGCCAATGGGGACGCACCCCTGAAAGTCCCGCCTACCTGGGACGTTTGTGTCAGAATTGAAAACAAAAAATGAGGGAGCGTAAACGAGAAAGCTGCAGCGAGATCAAAAGTCTGATCATTGAGAAAGAAGCAAAGATAACTGCAAACAAAAAGATGTTTTAAAACAAAGACTTATAGTTTACATGATTACACAAATGATTTGTTTGCAACTTAGGCCTATAGTTTTATTTTTTAAATTAAAATGTAGCTTGACTGCGTTTTTTCTTCTCTTAAACTCTTAGTTTTGCTTGATTCTGAGAAAGTGTTGCTTTATCTTTATGAAACAAAACTAATCCCATAGCTGTTGACAAAATAGGGAATTTAGTCGGCTTTTTTTCCTTTCCTTGTTTGCACAGCGCTATTTTCTAACGCTCCTAATGGAAATGTTTGGGCCGTTTGCACTTATTTGGCATATAATTACAGTGAAGAAAATGTCACTTAAGCGAAAATGAGTCCCCTTCATACTGGAAATACGGCATTGCAGGTTTTCTTTTCAGTCTTGTAAGGACAATAGGCGCATTCACACCGCAGTACTTTTCCCACAAAGGTTCATGAGAACTTAGTTCATGAGAACTCTACAGATCGCGTTCACACCGGAATAAGTCCCTGGGGGAGGATTAGGCAAATGAAGCATGGATGTATAATAAGAACTGGATACAGCGTGGGAGGCGGGGCGTCATTAATTCCTATGAGAGTTGCTCATTAGCGCATGATGACAAAATGGCCCAACTTTTGAGAGAGCGAAACGTCACAGATTACCCGGCATGCCTGAGAAGTACCCGTATGTGCGCTCATAGCGCATGCGCAACTTTAACCACGCCGCCCAAAAGGCTCGTTCACATTAAGCACGTGAATTTGCGTACACTAACAGCACCGCGCGTTCATGACAGCATGGTACTGGATTTATATTAACGAGGCGGCAGTTAGCAGCTAGCGGCTAGCTAGTAAATGATGCTAACTTACACATCAATCGTTATGTACTTTTATATTACGCTGACATCAGGATCTATTGATATCCAAGCAACAGAGCTTCATTTAGCATGATACTTGTGTGAGTTGTAATAGGGTGGCCATACGTCCGGTTTTAGGTCGGACAGTCCGGTTTTCAATGTCTGTGTCCGTCTGCCGGCGCAGCCTTGAGCCGGACGCTCATTTGTCCTCCTTTTGAGGTCATCCCTATTTTATACTTTTAGGGTATAAAAAAAAATAGACAATTATACAAAGAAATACAAATAAGTTAATAATAAGTTATGTGTAAGTATATACCCCCGTAAGACTTGTGGTCTTACAAATTATTGGCTGAATGCGATGTCAAATAAATATCTTGTATTTCATTGGTTCATAAACGTAAACAATTAGCATGTGCTTCTTGACGTCACGTTCACGGCAGGGCACTGTGGCAGAGAGTGACGTTAGCGCTAGCCGACTAGCTCATGAGCCAACTCCACCTAGTTAGCGGTAGGGTTAAACCGCAGAAATGCCGAAACGAAAGACTTCATTTAATCCTGAATGGTCGAAAGAGCATGGATTCCTCACAAAAAGCCGAAAGGACGACTTCCATGATTTTTGCACGTTGTGTCGTTGCGATGTGGACGTAAGCAGCAAAGGAAAAGGTGCTGTCGACAGACATGCTAACACAGATCAGCACAAAAGCAATTATCAAAGCGCAGGTGCCTCTTCACTTTTATCGTTTTTCCGTGAAGCTTCATCGCCTCAAGATGACAAAATCTCTGCTGCAGAACTTTGTAAAGTTTATCATGCCGTCAAGCATCGCCAGTCATACAGGAGTGTAGACTGTGGAATAAAAGTTGATCGCACAATCTACAACGACTCATCAATAGCAAAAGGGATGACCTGTGGAAAAACAAAGGCCAAAGCTTTGTGCGAAAATGTCCTAGCACCCTACTCTGTCCAGACGCATGTGGATTATATAAAAGAAAATGAACTGCATTATTCAGTGGCAAGTGATGCATCAAACAAAGGTACGATCAAGTGTTTCCCCATTGTACTGAGATATTTTCACTTTGAGGAGGGCGTGAAACATGCACTGTTGGATTTTTACAGTGATAGCAACGAAAAGTCAGAAGCTATAACAAATCAGCTGCTATCTAAACTGGAGATGTCTGGACTAGATGTGAAAAAAATGTCAGCATATGCAGCAGACAACGCCAGCGTTAACTATGGAAAACACAACAGTGTTTATCAGAAACTGAAACTGGCTCAAAAAGACGTGCTCGCTGCAAACTGTTTAGCCCATATTCTGCACAATGCAACAAGATATGCAGCAAGCAACTTGGATATTGACATTGAAAATGTTGTGCTTAAGGTGTATAGCCATTTTAGCATCTCAGCTAGCAGAACGGCGCAGTTTAAGGAATTCTGCGCGTTTGTGGAAGTGGAGGAATGCAATCTGCTGCGGCACGTTGTCACGAGATGGTTGTCTCTGCTGCCATCTATTGACAGAATTCTGAAGTGTTGGAGACCCCTGACCAGCTACTTTCAGAGTCTAGGTGAGGAGGAATGCTCCAAGATGTTGTGGAAATGCTTTGGAGAGGATGGTAACGAAGTATCTGAGATGTATTTTCTCTTCCTCAGTCACATTCTGAAAGTGTTTTCAGACTGCATTGAAGCACTTGAGGCCAAATCATTCAGCATAACCTCTGTGTTTAAGGTAATGACTGAACTGAAAGGGAAACTTGAGAGAAGGTTAAAGGACACCTTTTTTGGCTTGGCTGTGAACAACAAACTCAAGCAGCTAACCCCTGATCTCGCAAAGAAATGTGAGGCTGATTTTCTTGTTTTCTATGAAAGAGCCAAGAAATACGTGAGTGAAAGGTTTGACTTCTCTGAGAACAGCTTTCATAGTAAAGTGTCAAAGCTTGGCCTCACAACTGCTGTGTCCTATGGAGAATACAGTGATGCAGTCCAAGCCTGCAGCCTGAAAGACATTGACATGGATGGACTCTGAGGAATATGGCATGGTGGAAGCTATTCTCAGCTCTTCAGCAATGGAAGGATGCCACAGTGAGGAGCGGTATCTCAAACTGTTTTCCAAAGCAGAAGTCCCACTTGTGAATCTGAGGAAGGTCAGCGCCTATATCTTCTCCATCCCATGTAGCAATGCCCATACAGAACGTGTGTTCTCAATGATGACCTCAGCATGGAGAAATGAGAGAAATCGTCTGGATGTGGACAGTGTCAAGGCAGAGCTGCAAATTTGTGTCAACTTCACATTTGAGTGCACAGACATGTACCAGAGACTCCTTACAAACAAAAAACTCTTGGAAGCAGCCAGGAAAGGGCAAAAGTATCGAAAATAGACATTCAACTTGTGGTTAGTACACTAGTCTCATTGTGTTTTGAGTGTGAAGGATTCTGTGAAGCCAGGATAAAAACTAAAAGATAATCCCAAAGTGTCCTCCTTTTTGGTGTTATGGAAATGGCCACCCTAGTTGTACATGAAACCACTTGGTAATATATACAAATGTATATGTTGAAGCCTGTTATGATCAATTGTGAGTTAAAACTTTATCTAAAAAGTAAAGCTGATGATGGATTACTGTGGTGGAGTTAAAATAACAATATCCTATTTATTTTTTAAATGTGATGGAGTAAAAGGATAGTAACTGTGATTATTCATGTTAAGTAGCCCACAAGTAACTAAAACGTATAATACTTGAAGGAAAGGTGTAAAATGTTCCCATAAATACCAATATCACAGTACACCCCTTGTTGTTAAATACCAACCATGTGTATATATATATGCCGCTAAAACTGTGTAATATAACAGGCTGCTAAATCCTCCAAACTGTTGTTGCTGGATGTGTATTTTGTGAAATGTGTATTTTTTCAATTATAATTTCTTGTTTTGAATCTTTAATACTTTTTTTATGCATACTTTAAGTAACATTAGGCTGTCTTTGGCTCTTTTCTGCTGTAACAATGTAAATGTATTCTGATCTAATTTATGTTTTTGTCAGTTTGTTTCCCTATATTGCGACACTTATTTGGTTTAAGATTATTTCTCCTTTTTTTACAGACATCCCCAACCATAGTGGAATGCTGTTGTAAAGGATTGCATTGATCCGTGCAACAATACCTTCACCCAGCTTTGTGGCCTCCAATGAATGAACATCATCTTGTGGCTGGGAAAAATGTGAACAAATAAATCTCATAAAGAGTGACTTTCTGGTGTAATCATTATAATATCAAAGACAAGCACTTTCAGTAATATTTGAAAACATTAAAAAAACAACATTTTTTAATATATTTTTTTGTTGTTACATTTTTCATTAATTTTACCAAAATAACTTGATTTATTTGTATTTAAAATAATATTTCCAAAGAAATAAATCCTTCGAATCTGCCTGTTCAGTTTCTGTTGGAATGTGAAGGGTTAAATGCCGTCTCTGCGACTGTGAAGACCGGAGGGCTTGTTGGTCCCTCTCTACATTCACAGAGGGCCCGCTATAGTAACTCAACGAGAGAGTAATGTCAAATGACAGTACAATTGACCAATCATATCTTCCCTCTAAATGGGCGGGCTTTATTTTCGCGGACTTTATGACAAGTTCCGCCCGCTGTGAGGTCTATGCAAGTGGTGCAGTGACGCGTCCTAAAACCCGGAAGTAAGCTTCGCTCAGATTCCCTCGACAGAAAGCAGTGGGATTTCTCCATAGGATTTTGGAAAATAGCTCGAAATAAGGTCTGTGGAAAACGAACCTGTTAGATAAATGCACGTTGTGTTCAGCCGGATAATATCCACATGTCTATCTTACTTTTATTATTTTTGAATCATAAATCTAATCGATAGATTTATGATCGATAGATTTATAATTAGCATAAGTTTGTTCATGATTGCTCACTTCAGTGATAGTGATGACATCGTTGCGAAATGATTAACCGAGTCATTTTCAAGATTGAGTTCCAATGATAAACTGGAGTGGCAAAGGATCAGCTGAATGACCCGCAAGTGCTTCATCCAAAAGGACAGGAGGATGGACTTTGTGTTTAAGTGATTTGATCAGCCTAAGTCATTTTCAATGCGGGCCGCCGTGCCGACTTAATTCATTTGTAATTGGTACTTGGCTGTGGGTGCCCTGTCATGATAGGTGTTTATATAAAGGATGTTGTTTTGTGTGGTTGTGTGTTTTGTGTGGTTGCGCTGTCATTGATGCGTTTTGCACCCCGGACTACTGTTTTGATATTCCGCTGAAGTCTACGTTGAGACGTAATATCTCTTCTTTTTTTTCGAGGGAAGGGGGGGTCAGAGGGCCTAGGTATAAAAGTCACGGCTCGCCACTGGTCTGGCTCTTTCTTCCCCACGTCTAACGTAGCTGCTCCCTATTATCCACACATTGGGACCTAGATAGAATAAAATATATTGAAAAAGTGGTTACTGGTGATCATCTTTTAGAAAAAGGCGGTACATATCATTTTCATCATATTTTTAAGACTACACAAGTTTAATTTGTATATTATATTACATATAACTCTATACTTGTATATAGAATCATGATGAAACTTTATAAGGATTAAGATTATATATTAATATTACATTAAATAATGCATGACGATTTCATGCATTATTACGAAGCAGGATGTATCAAGTCACTGACTTGTTGTGATAAGGTCACAATCAACTGATTTCACTTATCAGATGTAAAAATAAGGTACAATATATTTGTTTTTGCCATATGAAAGTAAAGGGTATGCAATCAAAAAATTACTGAAACAAAATGAATAAAAATTCTTATAAAAACTATACAGCACCTTGTCCAAGTATGGCGGGAGGCCCACTTTCCTTCAGGATTTCCTCTCTGGATGTCGATCCGGCTATTTCTGCCATCTATAAATAAAGTACAAATGATTAGGCTTATTTTACTCTTTTATATGAGAACATGTTACATTACATACAGACATTAAGGAGGCAGGTTAGAAAATAAATATGTTTTCGTATCTTACCTTTTGGAACAAACTGTTGTCGGTTGTTAGCATAGACTGTATATATAAAGCGTTGTCTCTTTAGCCTCAGTGACGTGACAGTGAACACTGAATGTGACCGCGTTTGAAGGGGGAGGTGCTGAACACGTCACATCACATGAACGTGCCGGGCAGCGCGGTCCCGTGGGTTAGATGTGCGTTCATAATGCTGAGGGAAATAACTCTCAGAATAACGTTATTAGCACATTTTTACAACTTGAGGAACGAATGTTTTTAATAAGGGCTATACAAGTCTTCATACTGGGTTGTTTATTTAGTTTAAAAATAAATTATCCAACGATTTACAGACCACTCTTTCCCAATGTAAGTCAATGGGAAAAAGTGTTTCCGGGCCCAGCAACCAAACGGAAGTGTAGTACCGCCGTTTGGCCACTACGAATATTCTCATCAGACTCCGGCGCACTTCCTGGGGGCTTGAAATGAAGCCGCTGACGTCACTTCTTCTTCTTCTGCTTTGGGTTTACTGGCAGGCCGCAAACCACTTCACGGCGTATACTGCCACCCAACATAAGTTAGTCTCTCTGCGTTTCTGCGCTGGGCTAATGCTAATAATGCGAGGATAATAAAATGGCGGCTTCACAAAACTTTGTGGGAGTTTTACGGGGCGTGGTTTGCAATCCACCCAGCCAATCAGACATAGGAACCTTTTTCTCCCACGAAAGTCCCTGCTCTCTAGCAGGGATGGAAAAGGGGGTGAAAAGGTTCTCATGAACTAATTTTAGTTCCGGCTCTTTTTGGTGTGTTGGGCGTGTTGCTTAAACTTGTTTAAACAAAAAATGTCATTTTCCTATGACTGAAAACAGCAGGCTACATGAAGCATGTACATATAAGGAGAACTCCTGTGTCTTGTAAGGATCTCGACACAAATAGATGAACCCAAATGCACGACCCAGAGACAAAGTCTTGAATGTAAAAAAAAGTCATTTTGATTTCACAGGTCAGGTAATCCCTCTTAACAGGTACTGGAAATAACAAAAGGCGCTCACAAGGAGGAAAAAACTAGACATAACAAAAAGAGAACTTGAGAAAAACGTAAGCCTACAAAATTAACAAACAAAACAAAACCTGACATGAGTGAAAGCGATCCTTTACTGAGCTGAGGCTTGGCACGACCATTCGGAGAAACAAACAATACGAACTGACACAGGATAGGGGAGAGACAGGACTATTTAAACATGAGGTGAGTGGGAACAGATGGAAACAATCAGGGGAGGGGCAGACACTGATGATGGTGGGAAAAACACACAAGGGGGGGAAGAAACAGGGCCTGAAATGAAAGACAAGAGGTAAGTATAACACAGGAAATGACAGACAAAATACATAAACATAACTAACACATTTGACGAGACACAACATGTCTCATATTTGTATTATTTATGATGATCCATCTTAACTGTTTTCCAAATGTATTCTTTCAAAATGTTAAATTCAATCATGTGAAAACATTATAACATTGTTCTGTTGTTCTTTACTTTAATAATGACAGAAAACAATATACATACCTCCTGGATTTTTTATTTTCTGCCATTCCCACCTATGATTTATGTGTGTTTATGTGTATATATTACAAAAATGGACACAGGTATTAATTAACTCTTCCTTATTGTATGCAAATCCTGTCTATGAACATCTAGTCCACATTTGGTGACATTCTGATTATTATCAGAGATATATGTGATAAGAAGACACTGTGTCCTTTGAAGAAGCCTACACGTTCACTCTTTTATGGGGATAATCCAAACATGAACCAAAAAATGATTTGCCAATAAAATTACAAAATTACAAAACTAGACATATTAAGTTCATGAAAAAAACTTTTTTTAGTTCTTTGGCTACCTCAAATAATTTGGGGGATTTGCTCCTGTACTAGTACAGGAGCAAATCCCAGTAATGATAGCTATCATTACTTATCTTGATAAATACCTTTTTTGTTTGATTATAGGGCCTTTTCTGTTTTGTTTGAATATTCTAATGGTTATTTTTTAGTCTTTAACGTTTTTCAACAACTTCGATGTCAAGTGACCTTGTATTTCCCAATCAATGCTACATTGCGCAAGTTATACACCTATTTTTTAGGATTTTTGTGATATAGTGATGTATTAACTTTAATTTATACAATTTGTCTCTCATGAGTATGTCAGGGATGTAATTACTTATTGATCCAGTTTAGTGCTTTAAACGGGTATTATAGATATATATATATTTTATCCACGAATTGTCTTTAATCTACTGTATTAGGGTGAAGGAAGCCTCGGTTGTCCAGCATTATAATTAAAAGAAAAGTAAACTAAGGCGAGAGGCCTTTTATGGATGTATTATTTAGAGGCATTATAATTTGGTTAAAATGTCTGTACTGTTCTAACAGTAACCTTCCACATATCTGTGCATAAGAAACCTGTTCATTTATGATATGAAGACATTATAATATCTAGATTTTCTGTTCTTCTTTCTTATTAGTAGCAGAACCTGAAGGTGGGAAGTGAAAGTTTAGTTAACTTTATTAGATGTGATATCTTCAGTCAGGCTAAAATGAACTACTTGTATGAAATCTGCAATAATACACGTATGGCAGTAATCCAAAAACAAGCTTGTAGCACACAGTAGCAACTGACGCAGAGCAATCCATGTATTTTGGACAGCATTGTTTCTGTCTCTATGCCCTTTACATTGGATGTCAAACAACAAAACCAGCAGGTCTTGGGTCAAAGAAACAATGAGCTGTGTCTCTGTTACTGATGGAGGGCTTATCTGTATTATTTTTGCCTGGCCTCCTTGAGATATAATAGTTGTCTTTTCATTTTGTATTAGGAAAAGTTTTTTCTTGAGAATGTGGTGACATTAATAATAATAATAATAATAATCCTTATATTTATTATAGCGCTTTATCAAAGACTCTCAAAGCACTTTACAAATACAGATCATACATGTAATGGTCATATACTGTGGACAATACCCACAGAAGCAAATTCGGGTGAAGTGTCTTGCCCAAGGACACAATGGCCTGACGCAGTGGGGCGGGAGCGGGTTTCGAACTGGAGTTCCCCAACACCCCCTTGATCTGATGATCAAACGCACAGACCACTGTGCCACCCGTCCCATTCTAACTGTAATGTGTCCTGCACACGTTAAGCCCCTTGCATTCTTTCTTCATCTAAGATATAATTCACGTGTTTTTTTTTGTATCTTGAGACAAAATATGGTAGAGGTTAACTGCTTGATTCTTGACATTTTTAAATAGGCTCAAACGGCTGTGCAGAGCTGCAGAGTTATAAAGAAATGTGTCCATATATTATCACATATTATTGATCAAAGCTGTGTAGAGAGTCAGAAAAAATCCCCGAATTGGATCAAATGTAATTTTCAAATAAGTGATAGCCTTCTCCCTTTCATCTAATGCTGTATGCCACAATGTCAGATACTAACTAGGGACAGCAAAGGTGAAACGTTTCAAATCCTATACGTGTTTTAAAAATGTTATATCAACAACACAATTCTCTTTTCTTGCTGAAACAAAAAGTCAACTGTTCATTTTTTGCTGAAATCGATTTTATTTGATACATTTGTTTTCAATTTATTCATTCAATAACACAGTAAGACATTGGTCTGTACTGTAACAATTTAGTCCATGAGGAGAAAATGCACTTTTACTTTTTACAGTTTTTGGAAAACCCTGGCCTGTGATATTAAAAGCACAGTGTTTTGAGTTTCTTTGTTTGTGTTGATAATTACTTGGTACCACTTTACAATAAGACTACCCTTATAAAGGGTTTACCAATAGTTTTTAATTAATTTATTAATTAGGTTGTGAACACTTTATAAATCATTAATAAGCTTTTATAAGACATGAGATAAACAGGGCAACTGTGACCGGTTGCTTGCCAAATAGTGAGCCCAAATGTATCTGTACTGCTAAGTCTTATATTGGCTACTTAGCTTACCTCATTCTTCATCAGCCAGCATCCGTATCTGTTGTTCACCGAGTTGATTCTTGCTAGGTAGCCAATATAAGGCTTGGTCATCTTGTCAAATAGTGTGCCTGTGTTGATGTTGATGTATGATCTATGTTAGAGCTGGTTTATAAATGGTTCTTAATGATTAATAAAGTGTTTACAACCTAATTCATAACCTAATTATAAACCCTTTATGAATCCTTTATAAGGGTAGTCTTATTGTAAAGTGGTACCAATTACTTTGTGTCATTTTTATAATAATTTGAGCTGAACTATCACACATGCTAGCAATACATTTCAAAGGTGTTAATCTCAATTGGAAGAGAAACATGTTAAAACTGTTCCATCTCAATACGAAAAACACAGTCTAACTCAATGAACAAACATCGACCATTTCCAGTTTTTTAAACAAATAGTAGCAATGTTAAAATATTCTTTGTACATAAATGCTTATTTGTATGCCTGTTTTGTTTCTGTGTGTCTGTCGATTGTTCCACAGGAATATATGTAAAAAGCTTCTTTCTTTACACTTGGGTGTTTTAAATATATCTTTAAACAAATTATTCCACTTCCTGTATATGTAGCTGCTACACCGGACTTTCAGAGAAACCTGTTTTTGGAGAGTATTCTAATAACTAAACTGCCATGGATTTATTTTTAATACACAATTGGCACTATCAGTTCTCATTCAGTTGTGTCGACAGATGGTGGGGACTGTTTAAGAGTAGCCTGAGACATTTCATGGTGGGGTTAAAACAAAAAGAGGAAACAAACTGTATTAGGCGCCACACGTGATGGAAAGTAAAACAAATTCTATGGTTCTGCCTTACAACAAGATAGCTCAAGATCAGCAAAACATATCTGTGCCGTTGTTTGTATGTCTTGAAGTTGTGTATTCAGAGATGACAGTCACTTATTGGTATCATATGAACAGCAGAAGGACTTTCCCTCAGCAACGACATTGCATCTTAATTTAAACACAAAGTAATACAACGAGTGAATTAAAATATACACTACTATGAAAAGACAGCCAGAGCTCTTAGTTCAAAAACAAGAAATGGCCTGGATATAATGTAAACAGACTCATCAACACACAAAAAGTA